GACTATTATTTCATCATTACCCATTTAAATTTATTTCTTTTAAACAACAAGTGGCATAACTTTTTTGAATTTTGGGATATTATTGTGACTTGAAACATAAATATCTTTGATCCAAAGGAATGAGATACCAAAATGCTATGAAGTATACTAGCAATAAACAACATGACTATACCTTTAAAACTAGATAATCAATCCTCTGTGGTTTTTCTTAAACAAATATATAGCCATCTAATATGTTACCTATAAGAAACTTGACAGATAAGTTAAAAATTAAGATTGTATAGTTCTAAATTTTTTGTAATATTCTTTCGGCTTTATTCTAAAAATTCTTCATTTATTTTTAATCCATGTCTAGAGAACTCTTGAGCGATAAGAAGAGCCAGGAGTTATATGTCTTGGTTGGTAAATTAATTCCTGAAAAGAAGGTAAAAATAGGAATGAATGAAACTATTAAAGCAATTCACAATGGGACTGCTCTATTGGTAGTTTTAGCTGATGATTCAGATCCGAAATGTCTTACAGAAGCATCCTTGACTCTTTGTGAACAGAAGGGAATAGAATACGTATACGTATCTTCACGTAGTGCAATGGGGAAAGCGTGTAAATTGGAAAGGGGTGTGATAGCCCTGGCTATATATGATAATAAGGATACCGATTCCAGTACAATATTATCCCAAATTGCATTGATTAAAAGATAGAATGACGTAGATAAATGAATTTAAAACAACCGACTGTGTCTTTATTGAACGATTAGTTACAAGTATTAATGCTAAAGCTACTTCTTCATACTGTTTTTGTTCGCTTAGAATATAATTCCACTTTTTTAAATTTCTGCATTAAGGAATAAGAATCTTTTAATCAATTATACCGTGGTCTCATTCGAAAAAATCAATATTTCACATTATTCAACTATCTGATGTAGATCGGTATTTTTTCTCATACAGTTACATTTTATTAATTGCTATGGTTTCATTGACAAGCCATCCTGGTATATTATTCGTCAGATTTTTTATTACTCCTTTTCTCTCCTTTTTCCATATAAAATTTCTACTTCCCTGATTTGCATGACCAACAAAAATGAAGGTAATAGTGGTACACCGAATGAAGTAGCAAGAAAAATTGAAATGAATGGGTCAGATTCTTCCATAGTATCCAATGCAACTGCACAGTTCATTACAGGGTTTGTAATGATCGTATTGTATTTTATTTTCAGAACTAGAGCACCTTGGTTATATTTTCCAAATATTACTTCCAAGCCTAAGCATCCCTGTTACAAATACAACTATAAGGTGAAAGATTCCAAAGAGAATGAAAATGACGAGGAATCGGCTAATTCTGATCCTCCGGAAATTAGGCATTCGTTGGCTTTTCTTCAGCCACTATTCACATTGGAAGATACCAAACTGTTGGGAATGGTTGGGTTTGATGGATTTATGCTTCTGCAGACAATTAAATTGTTATATAGAATATTTTTGATTCTAGGAATAGCCATTTCTCCTCTTCTATTGATTATATACAAAAAAACCGCAACAAAATCAAATATCTTTGAAAACTTGACAATTTCTGAAACAACTCTGAACAGTGATAGTTTACGGTTAAATCAAGCCATGTATCCTGGACTGATACTTGTAATATTTCTAATAACAACATTAATATATTACCTGGTATTCATTTATTATAAGAGATATGTAACACTCAGACAACTGTATCTTGTTTCACCAGCTAGTTTAACTTCGGTCCTGACACTAAAAAAGATACAGTCTACAATTGCTCGTGGGCATTTCGATCCATCCAAATCAGCTATTGATTTTATTAATATCATCAGCAATACCGTTATATTCAACCGATTACCATCTTATATCAAAAATGATAATGATGCTAAAGAATATGTGAAGAAACTAGGTGTAGGAAGCATAAAGGATGCAGTGCTTATAAAAGATACTTACAATTTGCAGGTATTGTATGAAAAAAGAGATGTAATTCTTCAAAGTATAGAAAAAGAGATAAATATGGTTTTTTTAAAAATGGTAGAATATTATAATAAAAATGAAGGGGAATGTAGAGTATCATTTAAAGAGGTCTATAAGGCTTATTGTGATGAAGAAAAGATCAATGATGCTTCTAATAACTCCGATTATGGATTGTTGGACGAATCTAACCAGGGAAGTGACAATAAAGAATTATTCATTGATTACAAGCCGAAAGAGAACAAAATTTCATTATCGGCAACCCATGTATTTAAGAATATGAAATTTAAAATGCAAGAAAAGGTGAGGATATTGAACTGTTTTATCAATTCAAGTCAAAAGATCGAAAGCATAAGTTATAACACTGATTTGGAGGTATATTTAGAGGATTTAAGAAGAATCAATGAAAAGATATTAAATGAAAAGGAAAAATTGGAGATGGATGAAAAGCATGATGAAAACGTGATAGTTGTATTTGAAAATGAACCAAGTATTCCTCAGCTTACCGATAGGGTAAACGAGCCAGAACACTCCAACAAGAGTGAAGATATAGCAGAAAACAATAATCATCAAAATGAAAATTCTAATCCTACTGATAATAACAATACACATCCGCCATTGAGTGATTCTCCTCAGCAGAATATAGTTCGTAAATCAGTCAACAATACACTATTTGTAAAAACTAATCTTGTAAACGACGTCTCATTTTTCTCACTTTCGCAAATTTTAAATTTTAAAAATACTAAAGGCATGTTCACCTTAGATATTCCGATAAACAGAAAGCGTGCATTTGTAACATTTGAGGATTATAAGCAAAGTGGAATTGTAAAACAGTCTCAGATTGGGACAAGAGTTTTCTCTCCAACTGCAGAACCTGCTCCAGCTCCAAATGATGTGATTTGGAAGAATGTCAATCGTGGAGAAATTAGTTGTTTTGTCGCAAAGTTCGTCTCTTTTATATTCTATGTCAGTTTCAATATTGCATTTTATTTTTTAGTTTCAAAGGTAGTAAAAATGCTTCAGCTTAGAAAAGATGAACAAAAAAATATTGTATTTACATACATTAGTCAAAGTGAATGGCTTAGACCAATCTATATGGGTATTCTACCACCGTTGGTTTATAACAGTCTCGTATTCTTTGTTCCTATATTTCTAAGTACAATGATTAATTTAGAAGGAATCAAGGCATTTTCGCTATGCCAAATCAGGCTAATGTATTTGTATTCTATGTTTTTATTCTACAATGCATTCCTTTCAGTATTCTTTTCCACTACATTTTTCGATTTGATAAGAGATTTTGCAACTGGTGATAAATTAATGACTGAAATAATAATGGAGTTTGGAACATCTATTATAGAAACATCTGTATTCTTCTTCAATACCATTGTACAGAGAGCGTGTGTCGGAACATTGATGACAATTCTTAAGCCATCGCCATTCATTCAAAATTTCATAATCAGTCCATTTCTGATCAAAACTAGAAGACAGGAGGCTGAATATACATTTTCTCCACCAATTGATTTTGGTTGTATTGTTCCAAATGTTTTGTTGATTTTTCCAATGGCTCTGGCATATTCTATCATTTCTCCATCCATGATCTTTTTAGGATTCACATTTTATTTTATAAACTATTATGTCTATAAAAATGAACTAATATATACTTCTAGGAATCCCTATGAATCTGGAGGAATATTTTGGACCGCTTCTAGTGATTTCTTAATTTTGGGAGTGGTGGCTTTCCAGTGCACAAGCTTAGCTTGCTTATACTCCATAGGAAAAAATAGACTGACCCTATTTATTCTTGTATTCCTTCTTTTAACAGATTATTACTATTTTAAATCATTGAAAAGCTTGTTCAAGAACTGTATAGAAAACTATCCGTTAAATTCTCCAGAAGATGAATTCCTGGATGAGTTTTCCAATTCTGTGTTAGAAAAAAGAATAGAATTATTGGACCAATTCCACGAAACTGACGATGAGAATGATGAAGATGTTATTCCAATTTCAGAAATTGGTTTAAAAGACAAAAGTATTGTGACAACAGACTCTTATTATAAAGATCCATCTACGGTTGGTAATATTTCAGAAATTACACTTCCCAAAAATTTCTTTATTACAATACATTTTCTAAGGACATTTGACTCACAGAATATCTTCAGATTAAAATGAAACAACTATATTTATAAATAAAACTGTACATATATTTTTAATCTATGCCAAATTTACAAAAAATGTTAAAAATAGATATTTTGAAATTCAAGGTACTTACAAAGAAGTCATGTATTATGCAGAATTATTTTACTTTATAAAATAGTTGAACACTTGGATTGTTGAAATTTATAAGCTAGTATCATATTTTATATAAAGTATACTCGCAACAGTTTACTTAAAACAAAAGCCTTTTTTTGATTTATTGGTGTTTGTTATTTCAAAAACTGATAAGACAAACAAAAATAAAATTTTAATACTTGAAAGAAAACCATATATTCCAAGTTAAAACGGTTTGTTTGGTTGGGTTCGTTTGATAAAATTTGAAATCAGAAATAAAAGTTTTTTGATCAAATTTAATATTTAAAAAAATACAACGAAAAACCCATGAACTTCACAGTTATGAATTTTCTAGGAAGTATGATACTAATTGAGTGTTTACTACAGTATGAAGCTAAGTTCAACATACTAGGGTAATCTGAATTGATAAATAACGAAAAGTATCTGGAACAATTTGCTTTCAAAAATCAATTCACCAATTCGATTTCTTATAATGCTGGTAAAATGTTATTTGATGAACTAGAATCACATCTTAAATCAATATCTTTTTTAAATCATCCTCCCACAATATCGATTGGTAAAACCTCAAAATTTAATAATCTTGGAATTGCGTTTGCCCCGGTATATTGTTCAGAAATTATCGATCGAATTGAGTTAAAAACTCTTACTAGAATGGTTCAAATATTTTCAATGTGCCAATCTTGTCTTTATCCAATTGTATCTGATAAGTACTTCCATGCCTTTAGTAAGGGAGATTATAATACCTGTTATTATATTTTAAATTCAGAGTTCGGTATTACCAAAAGATCAGAGCAAATACTATTGAAAGCCACTATGTATAGGGATTATTATCTTAAAAAATATAATTGTAATGGAATCCTATTCATTGATTTGGAAAATAACAAACAGTTCTTGTTGAAATCTAAAATCAGGAAGTCAAAAGATCAGGTTAGCCTTTTAATTCTACCTAATCAATTTTTGGATGTGAATTTTTTCTGTTCATTGTCTATGTATGCTATTCGATCAATCTATTACAACACACCATATTATGAAATGATCAATGGCATTGAACATGAGATATCTCAACTAAGACTTGACCAAAATAGTTTAGCGATGTCTCTGAATTCATCATCTATCCTCAAACTAAAAATTATCATTCATTCGGCTATATCACTGTGTGCTATGGGATATGATTATTCTTATATTGAGAAATTCTGTAGTAAGCAGAAAAATTCACTCTTTCCACATAAGCAACCATATGTTTCTCATGGATATTATCAAGTAGCTTCAAGTTACATTCAAAAACAATAAATACTGTTTGAAAGACAAATTGTTTAGAACAGATTTCATATTTATATAACTTGTTAATATTCGAGCTTCTAATAAGTATTTTAACAATATCATTTCATATTGGTTATAGAATTTTTAATTTCAAGTAGATGAAAATTAAATAAGGCTGAGAA